CACAGCTCTCCTCAGATGCAGCCCCCATATCACAGCTCTCCTCAGATCGCAGGCCCCCTTATCACAGCTCTCCTCAGATCGCAGCCCCCCCCATATCACAGCTCTCTTCGGATCAAAGCCCCCCCCATATGACAGTTCTTCTCAGATCACAGCCCCCCCATATCACAGTTCTCCTCAGATCACAGCCCCCATATCACAGCTCTCCTCAGATCAAAGCCCCCCCCCCCCATATCACAGCTCTCCTCACATCACAGCCCCCCCCATATCACAGCTCTCCCTCAGATCACAACCCCCACATCACAGCTCTCCTCAGATCACAACCCCCACATCACAGCTCTCCTCAGGTCACAACCCCCCCCATATCACAGCTCTCCTCAGATCACAACCCCCCCCATATCACAGCTCTCCTCAGATCACAGCCCCCCCCCCCATATCACAGCTCTCCTCAGATCACAACCCCCCCCCCCCCCCATATCACAGCTCTCTTCAGATCACAGCCCCCCCCCCATATCACAGCTCTCCTCAGATCACAGCCCCCCCCCCATATCACAGCTCTCCTCAGATCACAGCCCCCCCCCCCATATCACAGCTCTCCTCAGATCACAGCTCCCCCCCCCCCCCCATGTCACAGCTCTCCTCAGATCACAGCCCCCACATCACAGCTCTCCTCAGATCACAGCCCCCCATATCACAATCACAGCTCTCCTCAGATCACAGCCCCCCCATATCACAGCTCTCTTCAGATCACAGCCCCCCCATATCACAGCTCTCTTCAGATCACAGCTCTCCTCAGATCACAGCCCCCCATATCACAGCTCTCCTCAGATCACAGCCCCCCCATATCACAGCTCTCCTCAGATCACAGCCCCCCCCCCCCCATATTACAGCTCTCCTCAGATCACAGCCCCCACATCATAGCTCTCCTCAGATCACAGCCCCCCCCCCCCCCCCGTGTCACAGCTCTCCTCAGATCACAGCCCCCCCAAATCACAGCTCTCCTCAGATGCAGCCCCCATATCACAGCTCTCCTCAGATCGCAGCCCCCTTATCACAGCTCTCCTCAGATCGCAGCCCCCATATCACAGCTCTCCTCAGATCACAGCCCCCCATATCACAGCTCTCTTCGGATCAAAGCCCCCCCCCCCATATGACAGTTCTTCTCAGATCACAGCCCCCCCCCATATCACAGTTCTCCTCAGATCACAGCCCCCATATCACAGCTCTCCTCAGATCAAAGCCCCCCCCCCCCTATATCACAGCTCTCCTCACATCACAGCCCCCCAGTCTTTCAGCCCCCCCTTGTCATGGCTGGTGGGTGCAGCACCTGCCAAGCATGGCCAATGCGAGTGAGTTAAAGCAGGCAGTGTTGTGTTGCTTTCTCACCACCCCGTGGACCCGGCAGAAGCATTCAGTTGCAAGGCGCTTGCAGAGTGGCCCCATGGGTCGTGAGTGGCAGGTTGTAGCACCCAACAAAAGCAACAGGGGGTTTAATTCCTGCTGCACATGTGAACACCTTTGGCTGCTGCCTCAGTAGCTAAAGGGTGTAGGGATTGGGGGTGATAAAACTCTGACTCAATCGCATGGTTTTACCACCCCCCCAACTTTACATGTGAACGAGCTCTAAGATTGCAGCAGGCAATGCTGCTCCTCTGAAAAGTGATCTGAGTGTGTTTGACAGGTGTTGAAAAGGGGTGATGTGTTGCCTCCCCACCACCTGATTTAAACTCATGATTGCCGTGCAATACACGGGACAGCGACACGGTAGTACGGCAATTAGGGGTGTAAATCAGATGTGAGGAAGCAACACTGCGCCCGGTGATCTTTGACATCTCCCTGGTTCAGGTACTGTGCATCTCCACCTCCTTGAGGTTGCCTACCCCTGCTCTAGATCTTAGTGCGTACTCTGTATGCTCTAGGTCTTTAACTCAAGGGGTGTCCTAACAGAAAGCAATAACAAATCATAATTTGGGGGATACAGGATTAGAACACAAATAAAAAGGTTTTAAAGGCTTTAGTTGAGTTTTGGTTTTTTCCGAGGTTTTCAGCCAATGCTTGACAGTGTCCATGTGAAAACTGAATTCAAGTGACAAACGAAGTCCCTTCTTCTCCAAAGAATATCAAGTGCAACCTAGGTGCCGACCAGGGGCGGACTGACAACTTATGGGGCCCCCGGGCAATAGGGGATCATGGGGCCCCTGTGTCCTTGTCCAAACTCAAAAAAGCCTATGAAAAAGGTACCAGGGGCATCTTATGGGGCCTCCTACTGACCCCGGGCCCTCGGGCAGTGCCCGAGTTTCAAAATGGTCAGTCCGCCCCTGGTGCCGACAATACTCCACGATGTGAGAAAACTGCTCCACCTTCACATATAGATGGCAGAGCCTCTTACCAGACAAGATGGACCATAAAATTATAAATGTTCATAGAACACTCAACTCGAAGATATGCAATCACAATCTCATCATCATAAACCAGCAGCCATCGAGGATGGTGCTCCAAAATGGTTGAACCATGAAAAGGTGAAGGTAGTGGCACTCATAGGACTTCATAAGGTGGAATTGGTCCCCAGATGATACATAGAAATGCCCATACGGTCAATCAGATATCCCTCCGCAATCTATAATACAATATATAATAGCTTCCAGTTGCTCCAGAAAAACAGCATGACCTGGTCTAATTCCATTTCCACCTTATGAAGTCCTATGAGTGCCACTATTCACATGGAAGAAAATAATATTTTAAATATATTTAAAAAATATTCTTCCCAAATATATTGACATATATTTGAAATACTACAATTTTGGCCGTATTCAATATTTTTCAAAACATATTTCAATAAATAAATTATAGATTTTATATATATATATATATATATATATATATATATATATTGTGGGAACTCACTTCAAGTGGTAGAGCTCTTCTCGTTAAAGCACACAGCAACTTGCTTCTTTAAGGGCCTTTTTGCCCAATTTTATTTAAAAGAAAGTTCACATAACACAAATGCTTCCCACACAGGGGTATCCACGATCAAACAAATTCAGCCTTCTGGCTCTTTCAGCTACACAGCTCACTGTCTGTCTCCTGCAGCCTCTTCCCAAATTATGACCACTAGCGCACAGCTAGTCTGGCTTCCACCTCTCCTAGGTGTAGCCCACCTGACTCCACGGCAGAGACCTCCTGCCTGCCGGGGTGGAATCCTCCTGCTGGGGTGGAGACCAGAATCATGGCCTGGCTTCCCCTAAAAGGCCTGGACACACCTGTGCCATCAGCGCGCTGGCTGCTCCCAAAATATGGGCCCAGGATTGGAGATTTCATCCCTCCCAAATCTCTAAGAAATCTCCAGGCTACAGGTCCCAAAACAGGCTTTACCAACCAAAGAGGAAACTGATAAACCAGTTTCCTCTGCATTAGGAGATCTGCCTGGAGCCCCTCAACCTCTATGGTTGAGAATCCTGGGTCTCCATCGTGCTTTCCACCGTGGCAGGATACCGTACTGCCACAATATATATATATATATAAATATATAAATAAATAAATATATATATATATATATATATATACATATACATACACATACATATACACACATATATATATATACACACACATATATATACATATATATAATTTTATTTCAGGTACATATATATAATTTTATTTCAGGTACTTGTATAGCGCCGTCAATTTACGCAGCGCTTTACACATATATATTGTACATTCACATCAGTCCCTAACCCTCAAGGGGTGTACAATCTAAGGTCCCTAACTTACATTCATACATACACATATTAGGGCCAATTTAGACACGATCCAATATATATATATACTGTATGTTGAAATAAGTTTTTATTACAAAATATGAAATATATATATATATATATATATATATATATATGAAAAATATTTTTAAAAATACATTTTCAAATATACTGTATGTCTTTAAAAATACATTTAGTCTACATTTTTTAAATGCATTTACAAATATATGTAAACATATATGTTAAAATTACTTTTTTTTTATATGTTACAAAAAAATCTGAAGAATATATTTTAAAAAAAAATATATATCTTTAAAAATATATTTTGTAATATATAAAAAACGCATTTGATTGAATATTGCCAAAATTTTACTATTTCAAATATATGTCAATATATTTGGGAAGAATATTTTTAAAATATATTTCTAATATATTTTTCTTCCGTGTGGGTACCTTCATCTTTTCATGGTTCAACCATTTTAGAGCACCATCCTTGATGGCTGCTGGTTTATGATGATGGGATTGTTATTGCATATCTTCAAGCTGAGCAATCTATCACCATTTATAATTTTATGGTGTCCATCTTGTCTGGTAAGAGACTGCCATCTGTATGTGGAGGTGGAGGAGTTTTTTTCACATCGCGGTGTATTGTCGGCTCCTAGCCAGCACTTGATATTCTCTGGAGAAGAAGGGACTTTATTTGTCACTTGAATTCAGTTTTCACATGGACACTTTTATTTTATTTTCCATTCACTGTATGTTATTTATAATGGATGAAATATCCACTATGTGTGGGCAGCACAGTGGCTAAATGGTTAGCACTTCCGCCTGGCAGTACTAGGGTCGTTGGTTCAAATCCCAACCACAGTATCACCTGCCTGGAGTTTGCATGTTCTCCCTCTACCTGCGTGGGTTTCCTCCAGTTTCCTCCCATACTCCAAAGACATGCTGGTAGGTAAATTGGCCCTAGTATGTGTATGTATAAATGTAAATTAGGAACTTTAGACTGTACGCCCCCTTGAGGGTTAGGGGCTGATGTGAATGTACAATATATATGTAAAGTGCTGCGTAAATTGACGCCGCTATATAAGTACCTGAAATAAATAAATAAGTTATAATAATTTGGTTTTATTTGTTTACTAGCGCTGTTATTTTGTTTATATGTTTTATTCACTTGGTGTCACAGTGATTAACAGCTGCTTTACATTGTTTTTTTTATCTTATCGCAGATATATTTTTTATTTAATTTATAATGCTTGACAGTGTTACATCTCTTACCTTAATAAGGAAATGTAGTCTTTGCTTGTCAGTCTCAGGGACTTTTGTGCCAATATCATTCAGTCCATCTTGTGCTTCCTTTAATTTAATTCTGATCTGATTCTCTAGAAAGGGCAATGCCCTCTGAAATAAAGCAAGAAGTAGTAAAGAAAAATACTGCAAAATGCACATATCTCGCAGCACATACTCTCACATGCAGAATCAAATCTTTGTGTAGCCAAGTGCTTAGCTAGAGAGATTGAGCAATATTGGACACTGTGCTGCAGTTGCTCTATGTGCTCCCACCGGACTGTCATGCCAAATTAAGTAACACTGTCTGCCTCCAGCAAGATGGGGGGGGCTACAAGCAGAAGAAGCTCCAGTGACTTTAGTGTGGGCCTCACTGAACTGTGGGAGATGTAGTTCTAAAGAGGAAATCTGCTATGAAAGTCAATACACGGGGAGTGCACATCACAAGTCCTGTGTGCCCACTTGCTTTCTACAAACCTGTGGTCTGAGACAAAGAACTGGAGCAATAATATCCTGTATGCTGAGGACCGGAGTTGCCTGGGTGCAGACCCAAAAGTGAATCGGCAGCAGATTGCTGGATCAAGGTTTGCTCTGTTGATGGGACGGGGTGTGTGTCTGCTGCAATTGATTTATCGCTGCTAGCAGGAGACTTAGAATGTAGGGACTGACCCTCTACCTAGTGGCTTCAATCACTGAATGCAGACTTTAAAGGGATTGTACTTATGTGCACCACCTTAAAGATTAGGCCCCAATGCTAGGTGGCTGAAGGTTTAGAGATGCCTACTAAATACTGTAGCTGCTTCACAGAAACATTGCCTTGATTGTCCATAGTTGGGGGTAGCTATAGATAAATAAAAATTTAATACAAGGCTCCTCCATGACACTAAGCATTCTATGTAAAAATATTAGTTATGTGGATGTGAAAAAAAAAACAAATTGCATATGTCCCCTATTGTGTGATCTCTGTATTGTCAGCACCATCTAGTGGCCACAATAGATTTTTTTTTCCAGACTGGGGTATTGCTGGAAAAAGAATGCATTATGGCCACTAGGTGGCACCAACAATATAGAAATAGCACATAATAGAGAAAGTGTAGAAATTCTCACCCTGATTATGCAAATGTTTGTCACATCTGCACAAAAAATGATTAATACATAAACTCCTAAGTGAAGAGAGTGGTGCACATTCTTGCAAGACCAGAAATGCCTGCATAGTTTGTTGCCTCTGTGGATTGACCAATCCAAATGGATTCTGTCTGTGCTAGGAAAGGGGGAGGGGCACCCCTTGTTTTTGCTGGCAGAGAAATCATGTGTGTAATCTGATCTCTTGCTCTTCAGGCCCATTAACAATATACTTTTGTTTGGGTTTTTTTATAGCGTTGCAGTACATCAGACTTCAGGAGAACTATAGCATATACCGTAGCTCAGCCTCATGCTGGCTACAAGTGGTAAATATTGAATATTCATTGTGCTACAAAATAAACATGCACAAAGTAGGATAGCTATGATTGTCACTCTATAGTTTAGGTTCCCCTTTACGCGGCACAGTTTGAATAACCTGCTGACTGCACCCTCGGTTATACATTATCCTATGAAGTTTACTGTTACAAGCAAAAGACTTACAATAATGTGCTGCACCAGCTCCGTGGTCAACTTTACTGCCAGTGTAGGGATGGTAGCATAGCCTTCATCTAGAAGAACCCTTTAAAGGAAAAAAAAATGTCAGCACCTGTGGTAGTGAGCCCTTGTAGATACTCAACTTGGGGTTCCCCAGGGCGCGGAGTCTAAGCCCCAGCCTGCTTCTTCACCAGAGTCCCTGATGGTGGGGATGGACTTGCAGCAAGCTGGGACCAGGTCGCAGGCCCCTGGGTATGCCCAGCTGAGGATGAGAAGACCGTTCGCAGGAGCAGAGTACAATGGGAGGAGACAAATGGAAATCCGAAAGACTAGCCGAGGTCAGGACAGGCGGAAAACAAGGACAGTCAGAGAATTAATCCGGGGTCGGTACACAAGTAGTCAATGTAGGATTCAGACAGTAGCAACACACAGGAGCTCCAACAACTAGGAAGTTGCTCAGGCAAAGTTGTCTAGACTGAGCATGTCTTATATAGGCAGGCAAACAAGGAGGCTGGCCAGGAAGTGATGGAAGGGAAGGAAATAAAACCCAGAGAACAGCAGACAATGCCCATAGGTGAGCACAGACAAACACACATGTGAAAGGGATCAGGAACAGCACTGCAGCAAGGAGGTAAGAACACAAACAAGAAACTGTAGGCTAACTCGTAACAAAAAATACTGATGCTAAAGGTATATTGGCATTTATAATGAGAATAAATACATTAAAAAAAGGTCAGACTCAGAATTTATAAATGAGAAAATGGCCCTGAGTAACTCTTCTGGTGGCAAGTAGCCTCACTGTGCAGAGCTCTAGAATCCATCCCTCACAGAAATTCTAGTAATGGTACAAACCCATTTGATAGGTTATTATATGGAAAAAATAGCAGGTGAAGGTCTGCTTCTTTAGTCACCTCTTCTCTGCAAAAGCACAGGTTTGCTTTAAAACTGAAGTTTAATCCACTGATATTTTGTCCTTCCTAGTTTTCTCCCTCCCCTATCACCAACATGTTAATGACATTTGTAAATAAGACCTTTCCGTCTTCTATATATTCTTTGTTTTACACTCTGTGACAGCATCGCTGGTTCTCTATGCAGTGCAGACTGATCTTGGCTAGTAGGAGGGGCCTGCCAGGTGCTGTATATAGCTTCCTGAGAACAGTCTAGTATAAGATATCATGTTTTTGGTTAAATCAAATAGATTTTAAAGGAGAGTTATTTTTTTTTACTGCTTGTTCAGGGTTCCACACATCAGCATTGTGCCATTGAACCTGGGACAGCTGGGAGGTTAGCCACATTACCTAAAAAATTGGTGGTTCTCAAAGAAAGCTCTCTCATTGTTTGTGGCATCCTCCAGGGAAACTCTGTTCATGATTTCACTCTGCCCCCGGCACTTCACGATGGTGTAGCCTTTATTTAGGATGTATACCCGGTTTCTCACCACACCTGCAATCTCGTTTTCCGTTCCCTTGTCCACCAGGTCTGGCTTAGTCAAGATCCCTGTGTTATGAGGTACAGAAAGGTAAGTTAGTGCACTATAAGTATGTGACCTTCCCAAGGTCGAGCTAAATGGCATTATTATACTGTATGTTCTAAGTAAGACAGTGCCTTCTGGTAAATTGTCAATAGATGGTAGTCACAATGTAAAAGAGACTAGTGAATTTATAAACTAAGAATTCTGACTTTGAAACTCAGAATTCTGACTTTGAAACTCAGAATTCTGAATTTGAAATTCAGAATTCTGATCTTTAATCTCATAATTCTGATTTTTAATCTCAGAGTTCTGACTTTGAAAATTAGAATTCTTACTTTTAATCTTAGAATTTTGACTTTGAAACTCGGAATTCTGACTTTGAATCTTAGAACTGTGTTTGAGACCCAAAATTGTGTTTAATAAGTTTTAAGATGGCCCAAACTTGTACTCTCAGAATTCTGACTTTGAAACTCAGCATGGTCACTTTGAAACTCAGAATTCTGATCTTTAATCTCATAATTCTGATTTTTAATCTCAGAGTTCTGACTTTGAAAGTTAGAATTCTTACTTTTAATCTTAGAATTTCGACTTTGAAACTCTGAATTCTCGCTTTGAATCTTAGAACTGTGTTCAAAACTCAATATTGTGTTTAATAAGTTTTAAGATGGCCCAAACTTGTACTCTCAGAATTCTGACTTTGAATCTTAAAACCATATTTAAGACAGTGCCTTCTGGTAAATCGTCACTAGATGGCAGCCAGAATGTAAAAGAGACTAGTGAATTTATAAACTACGAATTCTGACTTTGAAACTCGAAATTCTGACTTTTATTCTCAGAGTTCTGATTTTTAATCTCAGAGTTCTGACTTTGAAACTCACAGTAGTGACTTTGAAACTCAGAATTCTGACTTTGAAACTCAGAATTCTGATATTTAATCTCATAATTCTGGTTTTTAATCTCAGTGTTCTGACTTTGAAAGTTAGAGTTCTGAATTTTAATCTTAGAATTTCGGCTTTGAAACTAGGAATACTGACTTTGAATCTTAGAACTGTGTTTGAAACTCAAAATTGTGTTTAATAAGTTTTAAGATGTAAGGGTAAAACAAATCTTAAAGCCTAAGTAAAATTTTACAACGTTGACATGTGTTAGTAAAACTGTACATATCATCACAAATACTTTGTACATCCAGGTGAATTATACCTTGTTTTTTTTCAGGACAAATTAAGCTTTCATTTGGTGGTAAGTGGTAATGGATATTTCCTGATTTTTATATTATTATCAAAGGAAAACTGGCCCAAAATAGTATCATTTTTTTAAAATTTAGCTGTGTGTTTCTTGTTACTACCATAACCTACCACCAAAGAACAACCCAAAATACATTTTCCAGCTCTTGACAATCTCAGCGATACCAATATATATGTATGTTATTTGTTGTTTGTACCTGTACTACAGCCCAGAAACAATAGTGCGCATTTTGTTTTTTTTGTTTTTTTTTTACCTAAAAACACACTGACACTAACTGACACGGATACCAATTTTAAAAAATTAAAAAAAAAAATAATAATCCTGACCTTTGACCCTGACCAAAACCCTAACCCTGACACTGAACTAGATCAAACCTTGATCTAGATAATTTTTCTTTATTTTTTAATATTTATTTATTTATTTATCTTTTTTTTGTACAAACAGTTGCTTGTTTTTCTCTATGCAAATAGAGAGATACAATGTATCTCTCTCCTCCATTCAGAGAGAAAAAAAACAAGGGGGGCGGGCTTCACAGTGACTGATCACTGTGATAGCCAATCAGAGGCTGTCACAGCAATCATGTGACCCGGAATCGGGAGTCCTGGGTCCCGATCGTTAGAACGGGACCCGGGACTCTCAGTGACACCCCGGTCTTTGTGCTGTGAGCTCGCTGTGCGGTGTGTTCCTAGCACAAAGACAGTTACGCAAATATGCGGCCCCACGGACAAAAAGCCCAGTTCTGCAAGGTCGCATATTTGTGTGATGTCGGTGTCAAGGGGTTAATGCGATCACCGACCATCAAAGGTCACATCCACAGGAACTGATGTAGCCAGGTGGCAGCTATGCATCATGAAGTAAGGCATCACTCGGGGACAATGAACCTGTTATGATCCACCAGGTGGTGCCTCCGGCTGCCCACTTGACAGACCTACCCAGAGCGTGGAGTCTAAGTCCCGGCCTGTGCTTTCACACCAGGGCCCCTGATGGTGGGGATGGACTTGTAACAGTGGCAGAGGGAACCTCCGGGGATGTATGTAGGTACCGGGAGAGCCAGATGTGAGGAGGACGGCGGGACCTAGCAGGACGGGTCACGAGCAGTGGTCCCGTGGGGTAAGCAGAGTACAGAATCAGCAGGCAAAGAGTAGTCAGGTCACACGCAGGGTCAGCAGGATAAGTCAGTCCGCAGATTGGTCAAACAAGCCGGAGGTCTGGAGAGAAGAAGGCAGAGTAGTCAGGGCAATCCGGGTCAAACACAGGAGAAGGCAGCGTAGTCAGGACAATCCGGGTCAAAGCACAGGAAAAGGCAGCGTAGTCAAGGCAATCAGGGTCAATATGCAGGTACAGGAACTCAGGATCACAGATAGACCTTGCGGCAATCTGTGACAGTGCAGGGCATCTTTAAATATTGCGCCCTGCACTGTCATTGGCCGTCCAGGACGCGCCCCCGGGCTGTCATTGGCCGCCCGGGGCGCGCCTGCGGCTCCTACTGCGCATGCGCGGCGTCCTGTCAGCTGCGGCCCGCCGGGACCTGGTGCTTGTGTCCCGGCGTGAGCCGCCGCTAGTGCGCATGCACCGGGAGAGGCGCCGCACTGATCCCTGACAGAACCTAACATTTCTTTCTAGTGCCTGGGATACCGAATTCTACGTCATTTCCTGTCAGCAGAGTGGAGTGACGGTTTTGGATTAAAACAGAGAATCTTGAGGCATTTAGTCTGAATGCCCTTGGATAACAGGTTACCACACCTACTTGAACAAGTGGCTGAGCCACAGAATGGACCTACTGGAGAGGCCATGGCGTTGATTTACTAAAGGCAAATAGATTTTGCACTTTGCAAGAGCAGTTGCTCCAGAGCTTAGTAAATGATCAGAATCTCTGTTGACTTCCATCATCCATCATGTGCGTGCAAAAATGCTGTTTTCTTTAGTTGCCTTGTCCATGATTGGGTATCTTTGCAAAGTGAAGCTTTACCTCATTTACTAAGCTCTGGAGAAACTGCACTTGTAGAGTGCAACTCTGGCCCGGAGATTTCAACCAGAGCAGGATTGCTGCCGTTCTGCACTTCGGGGGCGCCATGCCAGTGCGGCTTAGCAGGTCCCAGTCCAACTTCAGGAGGAGGGACCACACCTCCAGTCTCAGCCTGAGCGAGCCAGGGGTTCAAGGTCTTTTCTTCAGCAGGTAATCCACTCTACAAGTTCTACATTGTCAACTGGGGATAGCCGATTGCGTGTCCTGCTGTCATCCAAGCGTGCCTGTAAAGCCTGCATTGACTGTGCTGTTCCTGTGGAGGCTGCCTTTAGGCCAGGATTGGTTGATTGATTGACACCTACACACCTCAATTCTCCATTCACTACCTAGAGTCACTGCATATAGACATCATATCTTTGCTGCCTTAAAGGGACCACCGTTACAACTATCTCAGCTGTCTACTTACTGGATACTGCAGATCTGTAACTAGTCAACATGGGCCCCCAATGTGCTGGCCAAGTTATCTCTTCACATTTGAAATCTGAACTGCCCTCATCTCTTGACCAACTAACCAAGACTCTGTGGCCTCTGTGACCAAGTTGCAGTGGGTGTGGCAAAATGCATCAGAGGGTGTGGCCAGAATGGCGGCTCAGGCCATTCCTTAACATTGGACTCCTGGGGTCGGTTGAGCAGCGTCCATCCCTTCATTTTATTGGCTAACACTGGAATTGCTCGAACACATGCTCCCCTCTTTTCACTGCCGGAGAGTGATCTTTTTCCTTCCATCCACAGCTTAGAGCGGCGCCATAATGTATACTTTTCACAACCAACCAAACGTTTGGCTAAGTAAGATTATACTTCAGTATGGGTGCAATATAGGAACGTACCTTAGTATTCCAGTGGTCCAGAGGGAGCTGACTTGTTTCTATCGGGTTGATTTACCAAAGGAAAATAGACTGTGCACTTTGCAAAGTGCAGATGCTCCAGAGCTTAGTAAATGAGGTAAAGCTTCACTTTACAAAGAATACCCAATCTCATGCAAGGAAATGTTTTTAAAAATAGCATTTTTGCTCACACATGATTGGATGATCAGCGTATAAAACGTATAAAATTCAAAATACCACAGCTTACAAAGCCATCCACAACACTGCCCCTAGCTACATCACTGACCTCATCCACAGATACCGCCCAAATTGCCCACTCCGCTCCTCCCATGATATCCTCCTCTCTAGCTCCCTCATCACCTCCTCCCACGCTCGCCCAGGACTTCTCCAGAGCCTCTCCCATCCTCTGGAGTTCCCTACCACAGCATGTCCGGTCAGCCCCCACCATCTGCCTTTAGGCGATCTTTGAAAACTCACTTCTTCAGGGAAGCCTACCCCACCTCCACCTAAGAACTGTACTTGAATCACCTCCTCCAGATCATCCCCCGCAGCCATCACCTTTTGTATCACCTCCCCCTTCCTTTGGATTGTAAACTCCACAAGCCGGGCCCTCCTATTCCTTCTGTACTGAAATGTATTGTAATTGTATTGTCTCACTTATATATTGTAAAGCGCTGCGCAAACGGTTGGCGCTATAAAAAATTTGGTATAATAATAATGATGGAAGTCAGCAGAGCTTCTGCTCATTTACTAAGCTCTGGAGCAACTGTACTTTGAAAAGTGCACAGTCTATTTGCCCTTAGTAATTAACCCCTAAGTCTCTCCCCTTAACACCAGTGTCAACACTAGGGAGTTGATTTGCTAAGACAAATAGACTGTGCACTTTGCAAAGTGCAGTTGCTCCGGGGCTTAATAATTGAACAGAAGCTCTGCTAACTTCCATCATCTAATCATGTAGAAGCAAAAATGTTGCCTTTTCATTTTTCTTGCACCTGATTGGGAAATCTCTGCCCAGTAAAGCTTTACCTCATTTACTACACTCTGGGGCAACTGCACTTTGCAAAGTGCACAGTCTATTTGCCTTAGCAAATCAACCCCTAGATCACTATATTTGGAGTGCACATACCCATTTATACCTGTGCCTAATCAAGCTTTTTTTTAACTTTCACTCAGTTTAAATCCAAGTTCTTTTATTGTGATACTGATGCTACGTTAGTCACTATCTTTCAGAAGGTATTTAGTGAAAACTGTTTTATTCTTCAATCCAACTATCTATTGAATACAGTAACTTACTTTGATAAACATGTACTGTGTCTTCTTAAAAGGTATTATTGTTTGCAATAACAATGTCTGAATCCAGGGGCGGACTGACAACTCATGGGGCCCCCGGGCAATAGGGGATCATAGGGCCCCTGTGGCCTTGCCCAAACTCAAAAAAGCCTATGAAAAAAGGTACCAGGGGCATCTCATGGTGCCCCCTACTGACCCCGGGCCCTCGGGCAGTGTCCGAGTTTCCAAATGGTCAGTCCGCCCCTGTCTGAATCTAGAGTGTCAGAGGGACTGAGGGGCTTTCAAAGTCCGGGCAACAATTGGGGACAAGCATCAACTGGCGACCCTCACAGGGGTAGCGCTACATTTACCCAGAGACTCTCCAAGCAAGCTGCAAATGTATGTGCATGTAAATCCAAAAGATTTTTTATTTTGAATGTAGTGATGGGAGGTTAGAACCCCGCCCGGTTTTTATTTTTGTCTGTGTCCTTGCTGAGGAGATTCACCCTCCCTGTTAATTCCGGTTAGCATTGTTACTGAGAAAGTAAGGAAAATCCAAAAAGTTGTTGTCACTGCAATAGTGGGCAAAAAGACAATTTAGTTCTGTCCATGATGCTTTTTCTTTTTTGTACTAACATCCAATTTTCAGTACAAACTTTTTGGGGTGTGCCCGCTTCTTCCGGGTCTAAGTAGTACTGATTAGTACTGCCTGGACCCTAAAAAAAGGGGGTACACCCTGAAAGTATGTTCTGAAAATTTGGATGTTAGTGCAAATAAAAAGTATTACAGACAGTACTCAATTATTTTTGTTGCAACTGCACCAATATTGCTACAATCACCTCTAGCAGGAATACAGGGGAACTCTTCCAATGGGGACACCTGCTCTGTCTAAGGGGGTATTTCCCCTCATATTTTGGGAGATTTCCTTTCATTTTCAGTGGTGTCTTTGGGACAAAATAAAGGGAAATCTCCCTTGCAAAAAGAACAGCCTATTTGCATTTGATAACTCAAACCCTACATATCCTATCGCTTTTAAGCGCACACCAATGCAGAACATTGGTTTGAACTCAAGCCATAAAACATAAGGGCTTGTTGCGTTGTCCTTGCATTGGGACTGCATTGGGCAATGCAGCCGAATTCTGATGGTGTTCACGAGCCCTCAAAGAAAAAGATCTGACCAAATGGATCACAGCTTCGGCCGTTGTTTATCATTACATGTGTATTCAGCATTACTCAGGGCTCACAAGGCCAAGAGAAATATACAAATATAGAAGCCATTCTGGTATTTGTCAAAGTTTCCAGACTGCCAGTCCAGGCCCTTTCTATGAATATATATATCTAAACTAATAATTCCAGTTCCTCTCCTTCTCAGCTGTCATTCACTTACCATATAGACCAGGGATCTCCAAACTGTTGGCCACATCCGGTCTGCTACAAGGTTTTATGCAACGCTCAGTACCGTATCCTCAATGAGCACTGATTGAGGATTAAGGTCAGCAGAGGCTATCCATGGTCTCCTGATGTAAGGCAGGAGTTTGATAAGGACCCTGATGTAAGGGGGGGACGCTAGTGGGGACCCTGATGTGAGGGGGGGACTATGATGGGGACCCTGACATAACTCTAGTGGTGACCCTGATGTAAGGGAGGACTCTGATAGGGACCCTGATGTAAGCAGGCTCTGATGGGGATCCTGCTGTAACGGGGGCTATGATGAGGATCCTGATGTAAGGGGGGCTCTGATGGGGATCTTGATGTAAGGGAGGACTCTGATGGGGACCCTGATGTAAGGGGGGTTCTGATGGGGATCCTGATGTAAGGGGGGACTCTGATGGGGACCCTGATGTAAGGGGGGTTCTGATGGGGATCCTGATGTAAGGGGGGACTCTGATGGGGACCCTGGATTAAGAGGTGCTCTGATGGGGTCACTGGTGTAAAGGGGGACTCTGATAAGGACCCTGATGTAAGGGAGGACTCCAATGGGGATCGTGATGTAAGGGAGGACTCTGATGGGGACCCTGATGTAAGGGGGGTTCTGATGGGGATCCTGATGTAAGGGGGGACTCTGATGGGGACCCTGGAGTAATAGGTGCTCTGATGGGGTCACTGATGTAAAGGGGGACTCTGATGGGGACTCTGAAGGGGGACCCTGATGTAAGGGAGGACTCTGATAAGGACCTTGATGTAAGCGGGCTCTGATGGGGACCCTGATGTAAGGGGGGTTCTGATGGGGACCCTGGAGTAAGAAATGCTCTGATGGGGTCACTGGTGTAAAGGGGGACTCTGATGGGGACCCTGATGTAATAAGTGGACTTTTATGGAGACCCATGTGTAATGTGTGGACTCTGCTGGGGACCCTGATGGAAAGGGGGCTCTGATTGGGATATTTTTCTGCCCGCAAATATTTCTAAAATATATGATGTAGCCCTCGTACTGCAAACTTTGGAGACTCCTGATATAGACAGTTACAGCCTAAATGTCTCTGTAATTCATGAATGACCATTCAGAAAGGGAAGAGGAAGATCTATGCCACTAAGCAGGTTAAGTATCTGTGCAGTAGAAGCCTGCAGAGGTGTAGAAACAGCACATGGAATTGCCTGGAAGTATTTCAATAATGTAATAAAAACTTTGTAAACTTTGTGAAAACTATTTTGTTTATCATACCGACTGTCCGCTCTCCATTGGGGTCTACCTGCTTTGCCATTTGCAAAGCTTCAGTGGTTGCGATATCCACATTACTGGGGATCACAACGAGATTTATGGTCTCCTGTCTTGTAATGTACTTCATAATCATCTGCTTAATCTGTGTAACAAAAAATGTAACAAAAAACAACAATATTATTACATTGCATTTATACATTGTTATTTATATATATATATATACACACACACATACATACATACAGTGCTCAGTACAAATGAGTACAACCCTCTTTAAAAGTAAGATTTTAATATCTCAATGAACACAAGAACAATTTCCTTGGAGCTCCACATAGCTGGGACCACTTCCCCTTGTATATTAAGTCCACATTATTCAGCTTCCATCACTGAGTAGAATAAATGTTCCCCCCATTAGTATACCAGTCTCTCCCAATGTCCCTTTCCATAGATCTGCCCGGCCGGACACACTCCCAGATGGCCCACTTGTTACCAAGCTTTACTAGTACTCATATCAGAGGACTCTGACCCGGTCTACAAGGCCTTTTGCACCCCGCTCTAGACACAAAGAGGAAAGTCAGAGAAGCCAGGGTGATTAGAGCTTTTCCTACTAAGTTCTGTAGCACCTCGTCTAGGACTTCAGCCCTATAGAGGGCCCTTGGACAATAGCTGATTACATCCTAGCAGCAGTAGTTTATATGGCCCCCACCGGCTTGTATGTATGCCTGACAACATTGGGGCATGCTCCTAATGAGACGACGGATGGTGTCCTGGAGTGTTTCCTCCCAGATCTGGACCAGGGCATCACTGAGCTCCTGGACAGTCTGAGGTGCATCCTGATGGCGTCGGATGGACCGAAACATGAAATTCCAGAGGTGTTCTATTGGATTTAGGTCAGGCGAACGTGGGGGCCATTCAATGGTATCAATTCCTTCATCCTCCAGGAACTGCCTGCCTTGTCTCTCCACATGAGGCCGAGCATTGTCGTGCAACAGGAGAAACCGAGGACCCACTGCACCAGTGTAGGGTCTGACAATGGGTCCAAGGATTTTATCCTGATACCTAATGGCAGACAGGGTGCCATTGTCTAGCCTGTAGAGGTCTGTGCGTCCCTCCATGGATATGTCTCCCCAGACCATCACTGACCCACCACCAAAACGGTCATGCTGAACGAAATTACAGGCAGCATAACATTCTTCACGGGTTGTATGGACCCTTTCACGTTTGTCACATGTGCTCAGGGTGAACCTGCTCTCATCTGTGAAAAGCACAGGGCGCCAGTGGCGGACCTGCCAATTCTGGTGTTCAATGGCAAATGCCAATCCAGCTCTATGGTGCCAGGCAGTGAGCACAGGGCCCACTAGAGGATGTAGGGCCCTCAGGCCACCCTTATGAAGTCTGTTTCTAAGTGTTTGGTCAGAGACATTCACACCAGTGGCCTGCTGGAGGTTATTTTGTAGGGCTCTGGCAGTGCTCATCCTGTTTCTCCTTGAACAAAGGAGAAGATACCTGCTGATGGGTCAAGGACCTTCTACGGCCCTGTACAGCTCTTCAAGAGTAACTGCCTGTCTCCTGGAATCTCCTCCATGTTCTTGAGACTGTGCTGAGAGACACAGCAAACCTTCTGGCAATGGCATGTATTGATGTGCCATCCTGGAGGAGTTGGACTGCCTGTGCAACCTCTGTAGGGTCCAGGTATGGCCTCATGCTACCAGTACTGACACTGACCCTAGCCAAATGCAAAACTAGTGAAAAACAGTCAGAAAAGATGAGTAGGGAAAAAAATATCAGTGGCCTCCACCTGTAAAACCATTCCTGTTTTGGGGGTCGTCTCCTTGTTGCCCATCTAGTGCACCTGTTGTTATTTCATTAACACCAAAGCAGCTGAAACTGAACAACCCCCTCTGCTACTTAACTGACCAGATCAATATCCCAGGAGTTTCATTGACTTGATGCTATACTCTGATTAAAAAGTACTCCTTTCATTTTTTTTGATCAGTGTATATGGTCATGGAGGTGAGTGATAGGTAACATGGCTAGATTTCCACTTTAGGGTCATAGAACGAACCTGCTGCTCAATATCTGGGGGCTGCTCAGGTAGAGCGACTCGTGCGATTCCCGGAAGATCAATCAGCGTCACGTCTGGAACGTTCGGAGACACAACTTCCAGGGTGATAAGCTCATCTCCGATACCTTTCCCTTCTCCTGCTATGAGATTTTGAGCTAGAAGCCAAGAAAAAATAAACAAAATTGGAACCATTTAGAATAATGTGTGCATAAAAAAAAAACATTGATAATTACAGCGTGGTTCTAGTTGTTGCAGAGAGCATTGTTCGAACATTCAGAGTTGTGTGTAGATAAGTCTGAACACCATGGGTTTCTCTGTCCGCAATATTTGATCATTGCTTGTCTTTGGGGCATATGCACTAAAAAATGGACCAAAATTTTAAAGTAAAACTAATGACAAACCTTTTTTTTAAGTTTTAGACAGAGTGGAAATGGATTAGAACACCGGTTTTTACTGCTGTCTCTGTCCCCGTTAAGGAGCTTCAACCTATTTCTCCTGTTTACCATTATCATCAAATGTGAAAGTAAAAGAAACCCCAAATTTTGGGTTGTCCCCAGAAATGTAATAGCGGGGAATTTTCCAATGGGGACATTAGTTCTGGTGACCTGGGGGTCCCCAAGGAATTCCATTAATTTGCAGGGATTTCCTCTTACTTCCTATTAGGCTATGGGACAGGTAGTGATGGTAATTCTCCCTAGTGGGACACGGATGGCAAAAAATAAACTGACAGGGGTTATAACCCTCAATTACTTAACCACTTCCTGTCCGGACACTTTTATCGCCTTCCTGTCCAGGGCAATTTTCAGCTTTCAGCGCTATCACACTTTGAATGACAATTGCGCGGTCATGCAATACTGTACCCATATGAATTTTTTACCATTTTTTTGAGACAGATAAAGCTTTATTTTGGTGGTATTTATTCACCGCTGGGATTTTTATTTTTTTTACTATGTAAATGAAAAAGTCCAAAACTTTTGAAAAAAAGTGGGTTTTTTATAAAATTTTGCAAATAAATAATATTTCATCCTAAATCTTGGCCAAAATTTATTCCGTTATTTTTTTAGTAAAAAAAAAAAATCCAAATCAGTTTATAACCAAAAATTATAATTTTTAAACATTTTTTTTAACATTTTTATTTTATTTTTTTTTATATTATTTTTTATTTTTTTATTTTTTTTTTACATACTGTCACCCTAGCAGTACAGTGTCACCATGGTGACACTGTACTACTTGTGGGGGTGATGAAGATATATATATATTTTTTTACACTGATTGCTTTTACACCCATATAGGATGTAAAAGCAATCATTTCTCTTTCTCTCTGTCTGCATTCTTGCAGTCATTGAGAAATACTGAGTGAGCTGTGATTGGTCATAGCTTGTCACATGGTACAAGGCTGTTGTGAATAGCCCTGTACCATGTGACCTCTGTGATCATTCACAGATTTCACACGTAGTAAGCAATGATGTCACAAGTGACATCTTGCTTACTACTTTGCATGTGATCACTGATTCGCCAATCAGTGATCACATGATCGGGACCTCGTACAGAGGTCCCGTCCGACGATCGGTGTTTCACTGTGTCCGGAGGACACAGCGGGACCTGGATCGCGGTGGTGCGCGCTCCCAGGGAGTGCGCACAGCTAGAAAAGGCGGGTGCCGTTTAGGAACGGCAACCCGCCCCTGGACTGCCACCGCCCTGCCGTTTATAAACAGCAGGCAGACGGCAAGAGGTTAAAGAAAAACTTTTAAAAAGTTTTGCCTTTAGTTCTACTTTAACTTCAAGCGTATATAAACCCAAAACACAAATTTAATATACTGCAGCTTACCAGTCTTTAGTTGTAGTGGCTGCATTAGGACTCAGGCACATAACTGCATTTGCCCATGCAGCATAAATATAAATAGGAGTAGTTTACAGGCAGGAGGCCCTGGTGCTGCATAGACATGAATAGGTGATGGCGGCTGTGCACCGCTACATGCGTAAATTGGTGCATGTGCACAGATATCCTTAGGTATTGTGTGTCAAGGACACTATGGGGGTTATTTACTAAAACCGGAAACTGCAAAATCTGGTGCAGAGCCATTCAGATTCCAGGTTTTATTGACAACGCTTAATTGAACATGCTGGTTAGAAAATGACTCGCTGCCATGCACAGCTGCACCAAATTCTGAGTGCTCCAATTTTGGTATACCCCCTTTGTCTGTGCACTTACACCACATGCATGTAGTGGCACATAGCTGCATACAGCTTCCTTCACCCATTGATGTCTAAGAGCGACTGTATGCAGCACCAGGGGCTCCTGGGCATTAAAATACACCCTTGTGTTTAGGCTTCACAGGCAAATGAGTCCTTAGTTTCCTTTTTGCAGGCTCTTTCCAATATTATCAGTTGTTGATTTTGGCAATTACACACTTTGTAAATGAAAAATTGAACTGTTAATAGTTTCTGAAACATGAGGAACAAAAGAACTTCTGGCAACTGTGCTCCAACATGAGAGCAGTTTGCAGGGTCCACCTGATCTTCTTAGAAGACCACAAGCAAATCCAGAGTTAAAAGTGGACTCGCATCCCAAAAAAACAAATTTGAATCTGGTTCCAACCTCTTCCTTCTCCCACAATAGGATAACATTTCCAATTTTGCCGGAGACCTTAGGAACATCTGCGTGTGCATTCAGAGAGCTATGGAGGTCCTGAATAACTGTTTACCTATGCATACTTGGAGAAGTGCATGCTTTAGCAGTGTTCACATCAGGAGTGTAGTGTCATAGTGGCACTTCCTTCACACATGTCTCCATTGCTCTAGAGTCCAGTGGCAGCGTGCTTTACACCACTGCATCCGAGGCTTTGTATTGCACTTGGTGATGTAAGGCTTGGATGCAGCTGCTCGGCCATGGAAACCCATTCCATGAAGCTCTCTACGCACTGTTGTTGTGCTAATCTGAAGGTCACATGAAGTTTGGAGGTCTTTAGCTATTGACTCTGCAGACAGTTGGCGACTTCTGCGCACTGTGCGCTTCAGCATGCGCTGACCCTGCTCTGTCATGTGATGTGGCCTACCACTTGGTGGCTGAGTTGCTGTTGTTCCCAGTTGCTCTCACTTTGTTATAATACAACTAACAGTTGACTGTGGAATATTTAGTAGCCAGGAAATGTCACGGATGGACTTATTGCACAGGTGACAACCTATCACGGGACCACGCTTGGAGTCACTGAGCTCCTGAGAGCGACCCATTCTTTCACAAATGTTTGTAGAAGCAATCTGCATGTCTAGGTGCTTGATTTTATACACCAGTAGCCATAGAGGTGTTTGGAACACCTGAATCCAAAGATTTGGAAGGCTGGCCCAATACTTTTGGCAATATAGTGTATATACACCGTGTTCCAAATGATTATGCAAATTCTATTTAAGTGTCACAAAGATTAAATATTTTGTTTTTCAGTTTAACTCATGGATGGCATTGTGTGTCAGGGCTCTTTTGATCACTGAAAACAATCTCGGACACCTGTGATAATTAGATTGGCCAGTGAGCCCAATTTAAGGAAAAACTACTAAAGGAGGGTGTTCCACATTATTAAGCAGAGCACCATTTTCAAGCAATATGGGGAAGAAAAAGGATCTCTCTGCTGCTGAAAAGAGTGAAATAGTTCAATGCCTTGGACGAGGTATGAAAACATTAGATATTTCATGAAAACTTAAGCGTGATCATCGCACTATGAAGAGATTTGTGGCTGATTCAGAGCACAGACGGGTTGGTGCAGATAAAGGCACATTGAGGAAGATTTCTGCCAGATCCATGCATCGGATCAAGAGAGCAGCTGCTAAAATTCCATTACATAGCAGCAAACAGATATTTGAAGCTGCTGGTGCCTCTGGAGTCCCACGGACATCAAGGTGTAGAGTCCTCCAGAGTCTTGCAACTGTGCATAAACCTTCTATTCGGCCACCACTAACCAATGCTCACAAGCAGAAATGGCTGCATTGGGCAGAAAAATACATGAAGACTAATTTTGAAACAGTCCTGTTCACTGAGGAGTTCTGTGCAACCCTGGATGGTCCAGATGGATGGAGTAGTGGATGGTTGGTGGACGGCCACCCTGTTCCAACAAGGCTGCGACGTCAGCAAGGTGGTGGTGGAGTCATGTTTTGGGCCGGAATCATGGGAACAGAGCTGGTCCCGAAGGTGTAAAGATGACCTCTGCAAAGTATGTGGAGTTTATGACTGACCACTTTCTTCCCTGGTACAGAAGGAAGAACTATGCTTTCCGTAATAAAATCATCTTCATGCAAGACAATGCACCATCTCATGCTGCAAAGAATACCTCTGCATCAATGGCTGCTATGGGGATAAAAGGAGAGAAAGTCATGGTGTGGCCTCCATCCTCCCCTGACCTCAATCCTATTGAGAACCTTTGGAGCATCCTCAAGCAAAAGATCTATGAGGGTGGGAGGCAGTTTACATCCAAACAGCAGCTCTGGGAGGCTATTCTGACATCTTGCAAACAAATTCAAGCAGAAACTGTCCAAAAACTCACAAGTTCAATGGATGCAAGACTTGTGAAGCTGCTATCAAATAAGGGGTCCTATGTTACAATGTAAAGTGACCTGTTAAAATGATTAAAAAGTTAAAATGTTGTTAAAAGTTTGATTGAAATAGCTTTTGATTTCAGTAAATATGCTGCATACACAACAAATGACAATTTTCAGTTCTTTACAACCTATAAAGTGTTTTGAAACTTACTGTGCGGAATAATTTGGAACAGTCATTGGAAGTGTTTTATGTTTAACAAAAATCCTGTTATCATTAGGAGGTTTGTTCAATAAAATGTGAATTGTACTCTTAATAGCTGATAACATGAGAATTATGCTGACTGTTATTTACATCAATTATTTAGGGAAATGAGAAAAATATCATTTGCATAATAATTTGGGACACGGTGTATACACACATACACATTTTTTTCTTAAAAATGTCATTAACCGTTTCAATACCGGGCAATTTTACACCTTCCTGCCAAGGCCATTTTTCAGGTTTCAGCGCTCTCACACTTTGAATGACAATTGCGCGGTCATACAACATTGTACCCAAACTAAAATGTTATCATTTTCTTCACACAACTAGAGCTTTCTTTTGGTGGTATTTAATCACCGCTGGGGTTTTATTTTTTGCTAAATTAACAAAAAAAGGCCAACAATTTTGAAAAAAACAAACACGTTTTTCTTTGTTTCTGTCATAAAAGTTTACAAATAAATAATTGTTCTTCATAAATTTAGGCCGAGATGTATTCTGCTACATGACTTTGGTGAAAATAACCCAAATTAGGATGTATTATTTAGTATGTAGGAAAGTTATAGAGTTCACAAACTATGGTATAGATCTGAATATTGATCAATCCTGAAGTACTGACAGCCAATCTAATTTCTTGAGGTCCAAGAATGTCAGAACAGTACAGATATCCCCCAAATGACCCCTTTTTGCAGAGTAGACAGTCCGACGTACTTCATAAGAGGCATGGCGAGTTTTTTGAAGTTGTATTTTTTTTGTCATAATTTTTCGGAAAATGAAAAAATTAAAACAATTATTTTCACTATTTTTTTTTTTACATACTGTCACCAGTGCAGTACAGCGTCATCATATAACTGGCATGGCGGTGAACAGGGACACTGACTGGTGACAGTATGAAAAAAAAAAATATATATGTGCATGTGACCATTCACATGTGCATGTGACCTGCTGTAACCATTCACAGCTAGGCACTAGTATACAATGGATGGCATGAATGAAGCCATCCATTGTATACAACTGTCATGTGACCTGCTGTGATTGGTCACAGCAGGTCACATGGTACCGGCAAGGGGGGCTGGTACTCAGATCTGTCATCGGCCATGTCCGAGGTACACGGCCGGTGACAGATCGCGCCGCTGCGCGACTCCGCAACCGCGCGAACTGCACATGTGCGGGAGCACGCCAAATGGCGTGCACCCGGAAAGCTAAAGCGTTTTTGAGGCCGCCAAACGACTATAGGCCGGGCGGCTAATGGTTAAGGTATTCCAACAATGATGTTTGAAGACCTTAATGGCTTGCGAAACAACAAATTTGACCCTGTCTACCAGTATGCGTTAAAAACAGAGGGTTTTGTTTGCAAATACATGCGTAATTACAGTCCCACGTCAAGGGTCCTCAGTATACTGTGGACCTAACTAAAATTTCCAAAGCCTCTGTAGTAGGAGCACATGTATAAATGGATAGGTTAAGGCAGTGTTTCTCAACTCCAGTCCTCATGGACCCCCAACAGGTCATGTTTTCAGGATTTCCCTCAGATGAAACAGCTGTGGTAATTACTAAGGCAGTGAAACTGATCAAATCACCTGTGCAAAATAATGGAAATCCTGAAAACATGACCTGTTGGGGGTCCATGAGGACTGGAGTTGAGAAACACTGGGTTAAGGGCAGGTGCATCTGGAGCAGCCCATCGCTCCTTAAAGGTACAGGGATGCACGTGATGCCCAGCTATACCAAAATGACAGCAAATGTACCTTTAAGGAGGAATGGGCTCCTCCAGGCACACCTGCCCTTAACCTATCCATTTATACATGTGCTCCTACTACAGAGGCTTTGGAAATTTTAGTTAGGTTCACAGTATACAGAGGACACTTGATGATGTGAGACTGTGGCTTACGCATGTATTTGCAAACAAACCCTCTGTTTTTAACACATACTGTTAGAGAGGGCCAAATTGGTTGTTTCGCAAGCTAACTGGTAAGTGTTGCGGGGAAATCTTTTGTCTTGCGATGTGCATTGCCCTTCCATGTGCACCTTACTGCTAAAGCTGGTTATAGGTTGGGATGGTTGCCATTTTTTGTTACAGGTTGTGAAGTGTTTTAATTTTAAAACATTGTAACTTGAATTTTACTCTCAAGTTTGCCAAAGCCGTTAAAGACAATGGCAGCGAGGGGCAGAAGACAAGAGTGGTCAGAGGAATAGGCACATCTTGTAGATAGAAGGATATCAGAGAGGAGGATAACATTAAAACAAGAGATCAGGAGGGACTGGACAAGGTCTTACCTTTCCTGACTTCATTCTCAACTTCTGCTGAGTTCAGAATTTCTTCCATTTGGTTCTGATAGCTTATTTTTCCATACCACCTTGAGCCCTCTGGAGACTTTTTTAACTTGAGTTCCAGGGGACAGCGTGTGACAATGCCTGTTAGGAGAATAAAATGGTATTACAAAGTTATTTAGGAAAATATTATTTTCATTGGATCTGAATTTAAGGCAGTTTCAGAACATGTTAGGGTTTATGGTAAGTAGGGTTTATGGTAAGTTCTCATCCTGCCATCCACAGTGACCACTGTTCAGAGTGCTGTTCAGAGACTGACTTCTCATTTATCCTAATACGTGGATTACCATCTCCAAGTACAGTGATGAGAAATATATTTGTGAGGGAGCTTGTGATTGGTCAGGTGTTTGTGCCAAACTACTCATGTTCCAGCCCAACTTCTTCTTGGATAGGACAACTTCCCGACACTGATAAAACCTTCCACCATATTGTGTCATACTCCTGGCCTGAGGCCTGCTCTCGGCATCCCTGGCCATAGGTCCTAATATTTGTGAATGAACTAATGCATTTTCCTCACTTTACTGTAACTTTGCAAGGGTTCATGATATCTGATGTCACATTTGACATACTAACCGAGATTATGTAAGCCATCTTTCCTTAGCTCCTTCTCTCCTTGGAGCTCCACATAGCTGGGACCACTTCCCCTTTTATATTAAGTCCACATTATTCAGCTTCCATCACTGAGTAGAATAAAGGTTCCCCCTGTTAGTATACCAGTCTCTTCCAATGTCCCTTTCCATAGATCTGCCCAGCTGGACACACTCCCAGATGGCCCACTTGTTATCAAGCTTTACTAGTACTCCCAGATGGCCCACTTGTTACCAAGCTTTACTAGTACTCCCAGATGGCCCACTTGTTACCAAGCTTTACTAGTACTCCCAGATGGCCCACTTGTCACCAAGCTTTACTAGTACTCCCAGATGGCCCACTTGTCATAGCTGGGACCACTTCCCCTTATATATTAAGTCCACATTATTCAGCTATTCAGCTTCCATCACTGAGTAGAATAAAGGTTCCCCCCATTAGTATACCAGTCTCTTCCAATGTCCCTTTCCATAGATCTGCCCGGCCGGACACACTCCCAGATGGCCCACTTGTTACCAAGCTTTACTAGTAGTCACATCAGAGGACTCTGACCCGGCCTACAAGGCCTAACAGAATATGTAAGCCATCTTTCCTTAGCTCCTTCTCTCCTTGGAGCTCCACATAGCTGGGACCACTTCCCCTTATATATTAAGTCCACATTATTCAGCTTCCATCACTGAGTAGAATAAAGGTTCCCCTGTTAGTATACCAGTCTCTTCCAATGTCCCTTTCCATAGATCTGCCCAACCAGACACACTCCCAGATGGCCCACTTGTTACCAAGCTTTACTAGTACTCACATCAGAGGACTCTGACCCGGTCTACAAGGCCTTTTGCACCCCGCTCTAGACACAAAGAGGAAAGTCAGAGAAGCCAGGGCGATTAGAACTTTTCCTACTAAGTTCTGTACCACCTCGTCTAGGACTTCAGCTCTATAGAGGGCCCTTGGACAGTAGCTGATTACATCCTAGCAGCTCTGGGGTGTTTGGATCCCATGCTCAGTCTGAGATCAGGCCCCTCCTACACTGGCATTTATATGGACACTAACTCCTCCCATTACAGCACTAGAAAAAGATTTTCTTTAAAAGGGACCTAACACCCAATTACCACTTTCCCTTTACTATACTACTTTGGGGAAATAGCCACCTAGTTGCAAGCATGTTAGCTACACCTGCATGTTGGCCTTTTTTTTTTTTGGGGTGGGGGGAGGGGGTTACAGTGGAGTTTAAGAATTAAGATTAAATGAAAAGCTTATCTTTAGTTAAGGTGGTATTAACCCAAAACCAAAAATGTAATACACTGAGCTTACTAATCATTAGATGTGGCTGCATCAGTTTTCTATTTTAAAGTGTCACTAAACCCACATCATAAAGAAAACTTTCAATAAATACTGTATTCTGCAAAAAAACCTGGTTGATCCTGCTGCGCACCATCTCCACCTTCTGTTCATGCCCCCAATTCAGCTAGGGATTTTGCAGCTGTAGGGGCAACTCTGCACATGCTCACTTTTCAGTAAGTTTCTATGCTGAGCATTTCCTCCCTAAGCTTTACAATAGGTAACACACCTATCCTGTATTAGAGTGCCCCCAGCATTGTCAGTCTGGGGGGAGGGAAGTGTTAGATGGATTAGCAGATTTAAATTCACTAACAAATTGAAGCCAAACTCTAGCTCACACTTTTTAAGCAGTTACAGCATACATATTTGTTTCTTTTGAAATAAAGATTTTACATAAATAAATAAAAGCTGATCGTTGTAAGCACTCCTATTAGTGGTAAGTGGTTTTTCTCAACTACATCTGCAGGAGAGCTTGTTCTGTTGAAAAACAACAGACTTACTAGCAAGATCACCAGGTAAAAATAAAAAAGAAAGCCTTAGAAAGAAAACTAATGCAGCCATCACATCTAAGAATTGGTAAGCTGCAATATAATAAATGTTTGCCTTTGGGTATAATATTGCTTTAGGATGTCCTTTTAAATGATCCCCTACCCATCTGAGCCTCATACCCAAATACTTACTTTCAGCCGCATTCCTTATTTCTTCATCATGTTCCCTGACCAGCACTACACAGCTTTGCAACAAAGTTGTGCCTGTGTCCAGCTCTTGGGTTATATATACATATGCGGCAAGGGCTGCCGCACCTCTGAAAAGCAAATTCAATGCTGGATTGCATTTCAGAGGCATTTAACAGTAGTACAGCGACAGGGGGGATCATTTTTGCCACAGCATATGTACACCCCTGCCTTTGGATCTTAATAGGGGGTGGTCGCGGGGTGGTAAAAATGCTGCTCAACTATATGTTTTTACTGCCCCCATTCGCAAGTGTATATGAGCCCTTAGGGCTGGTTTGACTTCAACATACATTAAAACACCTACTGCTTTTTTTATGTGTTTTTGATGCTTCGGTGGTGCTTTTTGGAAGCTTTAATGAAGTTTGGCAGATGACCTGTGTGTGTTGATATCTCATACTTGCAATACCTCCAAAACAAAGCTTAAAAGCTGCAGGTGCTGTAAATGAGCTTTGTCACAGACTTCTATGGAGGCATTAACCCCTTCCCGCTGGCGACTCCCGGCCCTTTAGGAGTTTCAGACGCCGGGAGGGGCGTGGTTTAGGCATCATGTGACCACCGTGACGCGTCGTCACATGATCGGGAAAGGTCCCGATCGAAAGAGCAGACCGGGACCTTTCCGTGAGTACCGAACATGTGTGCTGGGAGTGCGCAGGGCGCGCGCTCTCAGCACATATGTTTTTTCTTACATGAACGCAAATGTGCGGCCGCTCGGCGTCTACACCCAGACGCTGGGAGGCCGCACATTTGTGTGCAGCCGGCGTAAAGGGGTAAAAGACGCTTTGAAGCACCAAGAAAGTGACATGGGGCATCATTTTTGAAGCAAAGCAAACACAACATGTACACAGGACTGTGAGCCAACCATTTTATTTAGTGACATGGGCTTTGATTGGCGTTCAGAGTGCTTTAAAAAAACCGTGTTCAATGCCATGTTTTAAAGCAAATGTAAATGAGCCCTAACACCCCGGTCACATCAAACCCGACCTTGAAATCGTGCGACTTACAGTGATTTCAGGTGCGATTTGCAAGACATTTGACACAGATGTCTGTGCAAATCGCACCAAAAGTAGTGCATATACACCTTTAGAAATCAGTGCGGCTCCAACCAAGTCAGAACCGCAGCGATATAACTAATATGACTCTAATTGCGGACAATAGGGTGCGACTTGGCATGCGATTTGCAAGTCGCATGGCTTGCAAATCGCTTGCCAATTCGCATCCAGTATGACCAGGGACTTGCAGTGCATGCCTGCTGCTTGGGGGCCTCCACGAGTCTACAAAGTTGTATACACATTAGGAGCTGTACTGAGCCATTAATACATTCTGCAAAGGCTGTAGAGCAGTGGTCTCCAAACTGCGGCCCTTTGCTTGCTTTTACCTGGCCCTTGGGGCACTATTTCAGCCACAAAATACGACATAATAACTGACACCAATGAAGCGGCACAGTTCCTCCCAATGACACAAACAACGAGGCACGATTTCTCCCAATGACACCAACAATGGAGCTCAATGCTTTCAAGGGTGAAAGTGTGACTTTTCTTGGGGGTGTTTATAGTGAGTTTATTTATTTATTTAATGGAGCTCAATGACACCAACAATGGCGCACAATTCCTCCCAGTGACACCAACGAGGGGGCATTGTTTTTTCTCACTGACGATGGGACCTTTTCTTCTCCAAATGGCCCCAGTCCGGCCCCCCTAAAGTCTGAAGGACAGTAAACTGGCCCTTTGTCTCGAAGGTTCGGAGACCTTTGCTGTAGAGAAACAAAAATGGCCACACAGTGAACAACTCAGGAGAGCAGAGAGTAATAATACTTACCAATCTTCCTGCTGAGACTCTAATCTTTGCCTTCTTCAACTACACCAGCCAAACATCGTAAAGCTATTTTTCTGTTTTAATTAAAATAACAAACTTGTTATTCTTACCTGCTGTGTGAAGTAGTGTTAGACAGAGTGGCCCCGAACCTCCTCTTCTAGGGTCAACCGCTGGGGCTCTTGGCTCCTCCTCTTCTCCAAGTGCCTGCTTGATCCCAAGCTGGGCTGTGTACATCTATAGACACACACAGTGTGGCTCGGTCCCATCCCTGGCCCTCTCCTCACTGGGTTTGACAGTAGCAGGAACCAATGGCTCCCATTGCTCTCAGCTAAGCACGTGAATGCAGGAAAGAGAGCAGAGCCGTGACGGATTGAGAGAGGTGTCAGGTAAATGTTTTGGGGGAAAAGGAAAAGCAGAGACAGTGGAAGTTTTTTTTTTTAACCTAATGCATAGAATGAACCTCCTGCCTTTAGAACCACTTTAAACATTCAGAATGTCTGGCTATGTTGAATGCTTGCCTCTCCTGCTGTGTGCTGTGGTTCCTCCCACCGGCTGCTACGTCACAGCACACAATGGGAGGACAGAGGCTTCTGACACACCCAGAAGTGTCCAATGCTGAAGACTTTTATCTGTTGTAGGTTTATTGAGAACATGGATCTAAGGTACCAGCCAAGTATGGGCATTTCTGTACAGAGGAAAACACTCTTGGGTCCAGTTTTGGTGGAAGTCAATTAAAGTATATACAGTATAAAATCTTATACAAATCTTTTCATTTCTTTTTTGATAAGAGTAGAGGAGGTTAAAACCACTGTCAGTTTTTTTATTTGCCATCTGTGTCCTGCTAAAAGGACTTCCCTCCTTGTCACAGGAACAAGTGTCCCCAATGGAAGAATGCCACTTCATTCCTGTCCTGGTGGCAACTCAAACATTTTGATTTCCCATCATCTTCTTTCCCCCTGATATTTCTGATCAGGTCAATTAAACAGAGGAAATCTCCCTACCAGCGGAAACAGACAGCAATAAAATCTTTACAGTGGTTCCAAACCCTCACCTCTTTAATTAAATCTTAAAAAAAGAGACGTTTGGAGTCTGGAGCAGGGGCAGACTGACTATTTGGGCTCTCGGGCACTGCCCAAGGACCCGGGGTCAGCAGAGGGCCCCATGAGATGCCCATGGTACCTTTCATAGGCTCTTTTGGGTGTGGTTTGAGTGTGGGTGAGGACACAGGGGCCCCATAATCCCCTATTGCCCGGGGGCCCCATGAGTTGTCAGTCCGCCCCTGGTCTGGAGATTAATCTTCCTCTGCACAATACCCCATACAGAAGATACACTACATCCTCCCTTAGAGAGCTGCATGCTGACATTTTGCATAGCTGTCAACTGTCAAACCCAACTTCAGTAACTACTAGCAATCCGTGACCAATCAGAATGGTTCCTGAATATGTGATCACTATGCCAGCTATGATATAATTATCACGTGCAAGCTAAGACTTGATTCAGAAAGAAAATATTTCAGCTTGCAGAGGCCACTGTTTTAATACTGTAATTACCTGATACAGTTATATTATTAGAAAAAAAGTTTAAAAAATATGATTTTATATATATATATATACTCCTTGACCTCTCCGCGGCCTTCGACACAGTCGACCACCCCCTCCTCCTCAAAAAAACTACACTCTCTCGGCCTCAGAGATTCCGCTCTCTCCTGGCTCTCATCCTACCTATCACAACGATCCTTCAGCGTTACCTTTAACGCTACCACCTCCCCCGCACTCCCCCTCTCTGTTGGGGTCCCTCAGGGCTCCGTCCTCGGGCCCCTTCTCTTCTCCATCTACACCTCCTCCCTTGGCCAACTCATACACTCTCATGGCTTCAATTAGCACCTCTATGCCGACCACACACAAATCTATCTCTCAACTCCCCACCTCACCACCTCAGTCTCCACACCTACTGAGCGACATATCAGACTGGATGTCGCTCCACTTCCTTAAACTGAACCTCTCCAAAACCTTAGCTCCTAGTCTTCCCCCCAGTCCGCACACCACCCCCCATTGACTTCTCCATCACGTCCAACAAGGCCACTATCAGGCCCACCCTGCAGGCCAGATTACTTGGTATCATTCTAGACTCCAACCTATCCTTCCAGCCCCAAGTCCAATCACTAACTAACTCATGTAGACTCCACCTCCGCAACATCGCCAAAATCCGCACGTTCCTAACCCCAGAAACCACTAAACAGCTCATCCACTCCCTCATCATATCACGACTCGATTGCTGCAACTCCCTCCTCACTGGCCTGCCTCACCGCTGGCTATCCCCCCTTCAGTCAATCCTGAACACGGCAGCCAGACTCATTCACCTTACCAACCGCTCCATCTCCGCCACCCCCCTCTGCCAATCTCTCCACTGGCTTCCAATTGCCCAACGGATCAAATTCAAAATCCTAACACTGACGTACAAAGCTGTCCACCATACTGCCCCGAACTACATCACCGACCTAATATCCAAGTACCACCCAACATGCACTCCCCCTGCTGCTCACAAGACCTCCTTCTCTCTAGTTCCCTGGTCTCCTCCTCCCATGCCCGTCTCCAGGATTTCTCCAGGGCATCACCCATACTCTGGAACTCCCTACCCCAATCCATCAGACTATCACCTACTCTCCTCTCCTTTAGGCGCACCCTGAAAACCCACCTCTTCAGGAAAGCCTACCCCACCCCCTGCTAATTGCCGATCTCCTCCACTCTTCCTACCACTCCATCCCCCACAGCTATCTCCTCCCGTACCACTATCCCCTCCCACCTAGATTATAAGCTCCAAGGAGCAGGGCCCTCTAACCCCTCATGTATCGCATTGTATTGTTATTGTACTGTCACATGTTCTGTCTCCCTTTGTAATGTACAGCGCTGAGCGAACTGTTGGCGCTTTATAAATACTGTATAATAATAATATACACTGTGTGTATACATAAAAAAATATACACACACTTTTACATAATTAAATAATAAATACATTACACAAGGAAGCCTTACCGCTGCCTCTGGGTAGACACACTCCAGACAAAGCCTCCAATACGGAACTCTTCCCAGAGCTCTGATCACCAATGACAGCGATCGCCGGCAAGCTCAGGTCTTTCTCCACCCCCAGCGCCCGCAGTGAGTCAATGAGATCAATACAAGGGCGGATCTGATGGTCAAATTCCTGTTTCAAACTATTATATGGTTGTGCCTTGAGAAAAAAAAATGCAAACAAATGGTGAGGATTCTAATTTACTTTGTTCGGTTTTATTTATGCAGCGCATTTTTAGAAAAAACAGGTTGCCTCTTTGGTGCTGTCAGGTGACTTGTGTGTTTTTTTTGGCCTATGACAGGCAGCTGACAGTTCAGTATGGCCTCCCTATGTACCTGGGGAAAATATATAAGAATAAGGGGGAGCAGGGGGTGCCTCAAATTTACAATCAATGACTAACTGAACAGTTAATTTCCCCATCAGATCAGATAGAAGCCCAACATCATTCAACCTGGAAGACTGCAAGGGCTTGTTCACATCAGCCACTGAGTTGCAATGCAGCAGCTGGTATGCGGTTTGATGCGGCAGGATAACTGCAGTGCCAGTGCGCTGATCATGATGCATCACACAGTTCTCCATCGGATGTCAGATATCCCCATCAGATGAGGAAATATGATGTAAGGGGGGGTCGCTGCTGATGGGTCCTGATATAAGGGGGCACTCTGATGGGGCTCTGATATAAGGGGGCACTCTGATGGGGCCCTGATATAAGGGGGCACTCTGATGGGGCTCTGATATAAAGGGGGCATTCTGATGGGGCCCCGATATAAGGGGGCACTCTGATGGGGCCCTGATATAAGGGGGCACTCTGATGGGGCCCTGATATAAGGGGGCACTCTGATGGGACCCCGATATAAGGGGGCACTCTGATGGGGCTTTGATATAAGGGGGCACTCTGATAGGGCCCTGATATATGGGGGCACTCTGATGGGGCCCTGATATATGGGGGCGCTCTGATGGGGCCCTGGTGTAAGGGGGCACTCTCATGGGACCCTGATGTAAGGGGGCACTCTCATGGGGCCCTGATGTAAGGGGGCACTCTAATGGGCCCTGATATAAAGGGGCGCTCTAATGGGGCCCTGATATAGGGAGACACTTTGATTTAATCAATAAAGTGTATTTTACTCCAAAAAAATTATGTTTGAAAAATATATTACTTTTTAAAAACTGTCCATTTTGGTTTCAGTTTTTGGCCAAGTGCATCCTGAAGTTTCGGTTACAGCACCAGAATTTTCATTTCATTGCACCACTAATTATTGGCACCCTTTTATTTCTATTAATAAAACGCCTATAAACCTATTTTTAGCTGATAATTTTCAGGGACTGATATATCGGTGCATTACTAGTTTTTAATGAGCCCTAAGTACTCTGGCCGTGTGAATGAGTAGATTGTTCACATGGCTGGAGCCACCTGTTACTCTAAGGCAGGGGTGTCAAACTCCATTTCATCGTGGGCGGTATCAGCATTATGGTTGCCCTCAAACGGGTCAGTTGTGTCTGTATGACTAGATGTCCAGAGCACCTCAGCTCCCATTACATCAGATGTCAAGAATCCCACACCCTCCCTAACATTGCCGTGCACCCCCTTTGAGGGCAGAACTGGAAAGCAGAAAGTGCAGGGTCTAGAGGAGGACCAGAGGAGGAGTGGAGGCAGTTACCAGAGTCTGCTGAATGCTAATACCAGGGGAGGCAGAGATGAGGGGGTGGTGCAGCTGTACCAAGAGGTGCAGGATTTAGATTCCCCTCTCTGCTGCCGACTGCAGAGACAAGGTGGGGGCGGAGACAAGGGGGTACCTGAAGGAGAGGTGCAAGGGCCACATGAAATGGCCCGGAGGGCCAGATTCAGCCTGCAGGCTTTGTGTTTAACACCTGTGCTCTAAGGGGATACAGCGGCTGTACAAACACAGCTACAGATTACAGAGTGACCCCAAATGCACAGTGTCTGTGTTCAGGGTTGTATATCTGTGCCCACATACCTGTCAAATCAGGACTTGCGGCTGTGTTCATACAGCTGCTGCATCCCCAAAGTGTAACACAGCTTCAGGTGGCTCCAGCCACATAAACAAATCACTGATTCACACTGTACAGGCCACAGCGCCCTCATTCTCACACAGAACTTTATTTATTAACTCAATAGAGTTTTGTCCTTTAGATTTAGCATTGTGTCTTCCTTTTCTGTATTTATCATGGAACGCCCTCCAGGTTTGCTAGGTAGTTTTTGTTGGACAGAGGCTGAGTAGAAACCTGGAATGAGTTGGCCTGGGGAGTGAGGTAGTAAGGTACCTCAGGACAGGCTGGGAGGCTGTAACAGGTCAGGGATTTTGGAGTCCTCCCACCTTTCCAGAAAAATAAGAGCTTTCTAGAAGCTCTTATTTTTCTGGTGGAGGAGGGGAGAAGGCCCAGATATGCATGTTTGAGGGACTCTAGCCAATCCCCTGGCAGGAGGCTGGGCATGGTGACCAGGGCAATCCTTAAATGTGGCAGAGCCTAGGAGGAGGCTAAGGTGTGACATGTTGGGTGGAAGATAGATTGAGGAAAGCTGACGTGTGGAGTCTGGGAGGGGAGCCTACCTACAGGCAGGTCGCTGGAGAAGATGACCACCACTGCCTCAATGTCTCCAGGAGAGGACAGCCAGTGTAGCAGGGAAGGAGCCAGCCCAGTGTAAAGCCTGAAGGCAGCCACCAATCCACCAGGAGAGGACAATGTGAGTACCCTTACACCCCTTGGGCTGAATAAGGGGAGAGGGCAGTCAAGTGCAAGACCCGACTAGCTTCTCATCTGGGACTGTTCTAAACTAACAGCTCTTGGGCCCCCTCAGGGATACCCTCAGGGAGCTGTGTGAAGAGAAGGAATCATCTGGAGTTTGAGGAGGTGCACCTAAGGGCCATTGGTGCTCTTAAAGTAAAGACTGTTGCTAATCCAAATCTTTGTACATAGTTGTTAAGGAGTTGTCCTCAAATTCTACAGTTCCTTGGGCATCCCATATACCCCTAGACCCCATCCAAGTTTATTTACTTAATAAAAACCACAAAACCAAGCTCAAGCACTGTTCATTGATTCCAGTGTGCAAAGTATGGAAATGTGCGTTGCCTGGCTGTGCAAAGCTTAGGGAGACCCAAACCAATTCCATCTGCCCTTGCGAGAATAGTGCCACAATAATGTACAGATGACGAGTATTATCATTCTATATTCTGGGTGTAATTCTCAGTATCTGTCCTTATTCTGTAAGTTTAGACCAGCAATGGGCAAACTACGGCCCGCGGGCCGTATACGGCCCGGCGGACCTTTTAATCCGGCCCGCGGAGCGTGATAAAAAAAAAACACAGCCAGGGCAGGCAAACATTGGCTGTCAGGATGTGTGTAGGCGGGGCAGCGTGACGAACGTGAAGGGAGCTAGGCTCCTCTCACAGTCCGCCCTGAAGACCGGGTAGGCGCGGGAACACGGCGAGAGGAATGCGCGGAGCAAAGGTAAGTGAATTGACACAGGGGGGACTTGGCTTACTACTTGGGGGGAATAGTACTGTGGGGGATGAAATACTATATGAGGGATGAATTAATATGGGGGATGAATTAATATGGGGAATGAATTACTATAGGGGGGATGAATTACTATGGGGGATGAATTACTATATGGGGGATGAATTACTATGGGGGGATGAATTACTATATGGGGGATGAATTACTATGGGGGATGAATTACTATATGGGGGATGAATTACTATATGGGGGATGAATTACTATGGGGGATGAATTACTATGGGGGATGAATTACTATATGGGGGATTAATTACTATGGGGGATGAATTACTATGGTAGATGAATTACTATATGGGGGATGAATTACTATGGGGGATGAATTACTATATGGGGGATGAATTACTATATGGGGGATGAATTACTATCTACTCTTGGTCCGGCCCCCGGGTCCAATATATAAACCCATTGCGGCCCTCAAGTCAAAAAGTTTGCTCACCCCTGGTTTAGACACTGTACAGTATCACTTCTCTTGGGTTTACTGCACTTTATACCTGTGTTGGGTTTTGTCTCTTTGTGAACCCTGGGTTCAATTCACTATCGTATGAATTTTTGCTTTAAAATCCAGAGCCCACTCATCCCGTATTTAGCTCAAAATTAGTCAATTCCCTAAAAACACCCCCTATTTACTGAATGTGTTAAATATTGTGAAGCTACCGAAACATTCTAGTGTGCTTTCTTTCACAAAATAATCTCCCTACATGTTATAAATGATTTACATAAGCCTAAGCTAATGGCAGAATACTGTATTTCCACATTGATACGTTGTTTATTAACTTAGGCCCCTTTCACATAAGCCAACCGACCGGGTCCGCCTGACAGTTTTTCAGGTGGACCCGATCGGACCCTCTATTGTTCTCTATGGAGTGTGGGTGTAAACTGACATGTTTCTTTTTTACACCTGCCAACATCCAATCCAATCCAATTGGATGCCAGTCAGGTGAAAATGGGGGGAGTTGCATACTGAAGTTTTTGTTGTTTTTCTTTTAAAGTATTACAACAGATAACAAGAATAACACTGACTTCATACAAATGTTGAGGGTACGTTTCAAGTCACTGCAAGGCATAGTTTCAAAAAAAAAAAAGAAAATTCCACAGAGGGGTACATCATTGCATACTGTACAATAACCACACTGGCCAGTAAGAATCTGTATACTGAGGTGTCACCGATCTATACAAACATGGTTAAATACATTGGTTAATTGGGTATAGAAAAGCCTATGGGAATCCGAGATTGCCACAGGGTAGCATACGAAAGTTTTTTGACCCTAAAGCACAGAATGCATTAAGGTAAAAAAAAACCTTGTACCTATAGAAGTTCAGTTCAGTGCAGAAAAAAATTTAGCATGTTCTACTTTTTTTTCTGGAACTGACTAGTGTGAACTAGTGTGAACTATGCCATTGAAAACCATGTAACCTACTATCAATGCATTTTTGCATGTGGTGTGAACTGGCCCTTAATGTATACAAAATCTCAAGGCACCACAGTCTAAAATGTAAAAAACATGACATGTCAGTGGGATACCTAAGCCTGGGATGATGCAACTCTATATATACCGTAATAAAAACTAATTTGGCAAATAATATGTGACCCACACTAAAAGCTGATTTGAAGTTATAAGTTTACT